TTTTTCTGGTTTGTTTATTTTTTTGGTGACTTTTTTGGGGGGGGGGGTGTGGGGTGTGTCAGGGCAATCAAAATTCCACACCATTTAATCTTCACATGCGGTAAAAGACTAGATTATTTCAAAATTTTTTTTGTGACATTCTTTCAATTTTAAAATTATTTTGCGTTTTTTGTAATATTTTATATGATATAACATTATTTTTATAATAACATGTTTTAATAATGTTTTAAACTGATATTTAAGTTGAAGAGAGCAGAACTGGCAAATAAATGGAATTACCCTGAAGTAAACATTAGAGGTTTCTAACTGAACTTGTTTTGCTTTTTTTCCCCCCACTTTCCATGTACAGAGACCTAAAGGACAGGGAAATAAAGGTAAGTTAATTGCTTGTATTTCTGTATAAATCTCTTAATATTGCTGTTTATGGAGGTTAATGTATCTTCAAACAGTTGTGGGAAAGAATGTAGCTATAGGATGTCTTTTATTTCAGAACAAGATGATAGCAAATTGTGTGCCAAAATGTTATTTCCCAGCATTTTTACTGTGGCACAGTGGTACATCAATTTAAAATGTTTTCTTTTTCAAATGAAGATTAATGTCAGAAGTTGGATGATAACATAGCTATTTCTTTTTAGCTGACTTTGTGATATGCTTGTATAATCTCTTTAACAGTACACCTTGGTCCTTTTTGTGCAGTGAATAGAATCAGTGTACTAGAATCATCAGGGAGAATCTTTTGAATAGTTTCCTTAGCTTGTGAGACAACAGCCACATGACTACTTAGTTACTCATATCTGTGAGTAGAACACATTACCTTCTGTATTCTCAGAAATTTTGTGGGCTTTTCTCTTCGTTTTAGAGTCAGTATAAAATATTCTCTCAGTGTTTGTAGGCCTTCTACTTTTCTACTTTTTTTCATGTTTCTGTCAGCATCTTAACATAATCAACGTGGTAAATACCATGTTCAATGGGGTTTCTTCTTTCCCACAGAAACAAGGAACCAACTACTTAATATTCTTCTCTAAAATTCTTGGCAAGTTTGTCGTAAATAGCATCTCAGATTATATCTTGCAATTTATTTCTGGTCTGGAATTTGTTATCTTTGATATAAAGACTAATATTGTATTTGGGAATTCTTTTTGCCTAATCAATACGCTTGTGCCCATTTAATTCTTAAGTGCTCAGCAAGCTGAGCTATAGAATAGCATGCACACCAGCTACCTTTGTTTAGTAATATGCTTATTATTTCTTCATGCAGATAAGAAACTTCTTTTTGGAGCTGATGTACTCTTTGCCCCCTGCTGTTCATTATCTGAACTAATCTAATTGTTCTCTGAACTGTCATTTAATGTTATCTGCAGTGTACTTATTCTATTATTCTGTCTGTGTGGCGTTTATCTGCTGCTTATTACATACATCACTTAGGAGGTGACACGTGGTTCCTGAATCATGCTGAATTTGGCCTGTTCCTTTTAACTTTTCTCCACTCAGGGAAAAATCAACTTGTGTTTATCTCCTCAGACCTTCTTAGTTTGGTCATTCTAGAGTACTTGTTCTCTCATATTCTAATACTTCTACTTCTCCCCCCCCCACCCCCAAACTGGAGCTTTGAACTATTTCTTTGTGTCTTTGAAATATACCTTCCATGTTGCCCTTAAAATGAATCTGACTTTCCATTTAGCAAGTAGTTGTGGCTTCACATGCTTTGAATTGCCATATCTCAGTTTTAGTGATGTTATCAAGATGCATCTATTAGAGAATCCATATCTGTGACTCGGAGCAGAAGTATTAAGCATTTCTATTTGGGTGTTATGTGGTAGCTTGTTATGTTAGGATATTTTTGTGTGCTATGATTTGTAAATGCTGCAGAATGTTTGAATCAAAACACATCTCTTCGTTTGCTGTGTAAGGAAGAGATTTTTGCATTTCTGAACTTGGATTTTTATGGAGTGAATCCTTGTAAATAATGAATACTCACTATGTATTCTCTTGGTGAGAATGTGACCTAAATGAAAACTATAGTGAAACAAAACAATAATCTCCTTCATTCTGTTAAATTATTTGGTATAATGTCTATTTAATGAATTGAAGTTACGATTTAGCATTAGATTAAAGGGCTAGGAGATTGAAGATGGTAGCACAGCGTAGCACGAGTAGTTGCCTTTGGGTTAGTGACTTTTTCAAGAGGATAAGTTAGTATCAGCAATCCTTACTGACCACATGTTAGCAGACAGTAGTCTTTCAGGTGTTGTGATAGGTCCCAGCTTAAAGGAGCTTCAAGGGAAGATGTAATGCCAAGTTAAGAGACTAATCTGAAGTTGGTTCTGTGCATAAGAGTAATAAAGTTAAAGAGGATGGTAAAAAGGTTACTGTCCGTGTGTCTGGTAGAGTGTATGAGAGAATGTGAGTGAGCAGTATAAGGAGTGTATGCATGGAAATAGAGTATTTTTCATATTGAAACAAGAAAACCACTAGACCTGCAAATAATATTGGGAGGTATTGTATTCTCTAGTAGAATGTTGTGGGTGCTTTATTCTAGTTGATTATTAATTGGTGTATCAAATGATGTCTTATGGGGGGAGAAACTGACATTCCTGAAACTCCATTTTTTTTCCCCTTTTGTTTGTTGTGCCAGTGTATCACACCTGTGATGGGAAAGTGCTGACTTGTGTTTACATACATATGTATATAATTTTTAGTTTTGTAGAAAGTTTACATGTAAGCATTAGGTTTAAAACAATAATAAAATGTTATGTGTTTCTTTTAGTACTTATTCTCCACATGAAGTTTTTCATTAGAAGAAGTTGTTACACCTTGATTATTCTTATGCCTTTGGCCATCATTTGTGCATTTTGCAAGCAGTTATTAAAAGGATAGTAGCAGTTAAAAGACTATAACCTTTAAGTTCCTTTATTTGATGAGGTGTTTCTTCCCAATATCTAATTACATTGTATGTTTTCACAGTGTTTGCGGAAGTATATGGTATTTTCAGGGTTGCATTGATACAGATATTTTTAGTAACTGTAGATTAGTTTAAATTAGTATTCTTCATCACTGCCATGTTTATTTGGAACACTTAATGTGAGATTTTGGGAATGAGGCATGCATCTTAATTTTCTTGCTCTTGTTGAATGTGTGTGTGGGGTACATTCTTCATTATTAACACATTAGGTAAAGTTAGAATGAAAAGCCAAAGAAACACACTTCTAATGATGCTATTTCACTGGGAAATGTATATATTTACTAGGAAAGATGTCAGCGTAGAACTGTTTTGTGTCACTGACTTAAGATCTCAATACAGAATGAATAAGAAAGAAAATATATTTACAGGAATATTCTGTTAGTTGTAATGGCAGACCAAAAATAATTCTGTCTTGAGTGACCTTTAGATACCTCTGAAACAATAAACACAGCAGATGCACATTTTGTGAAGATTAGCTGTCAGAATGAGGAGATTAATTTTGATAGGATTCTAGTCTTGACGTGGAGCTGTTTATTCCTTTATTTGTGGTTGCATGCTTTTAAGAAACTTGTATGCCGCTGTCTGTGATTTTCATTATAACAGAATTGTATTTGAGTATCGTGCTCTCCATACTATTTGGTTAAGCCTAAGCAATGGACATGGCACGGACAAAAGATTTTGAGGCTCGTTCCCATTGTGACTGGGCCAAATATAAAGAGGAATATAGTGTTCCAGCTCATTAGTATGTTACCATTGTGTGTAAATTCAGGATGATTAATGACCTTAACTGAAACTATTTATGGGGGGAAACCCCCCCCCCAAAACCTCAACACCTAATACTAATTTAAATTTGGTATTTAATTAGGAATATTGTTCTGTCAAGTTTTAAAACCCATTGTGCTCACCATTGCTGGTCATATTTGGCTATAGCTAGTATACAAACACACTGTGCCAGTTTGTTATTACTGAAGTGTCAAGTGTTCAGACTTTTAAAACTTCAAGAAGATACTCTGAACATGAGCTGTTTTCTTCCTTCCCAGATATTTGCTTTGAAAAAAATCTTCTGTTCTGTGTTAAATTATTAATTTTAGCTCTTTTTACTGCTGTCTGAAGCTCATAATTTTTTCCAAATTTTGGTTATGCCTTGTGATTATATCTATTCCTTTCTCATTTTTTCAGCTAGTTTCATTCCCTGAAGGCAGTTTGTTTTAGAGGTGTTAGTCAAATGTGAAAAAAATTTTATGTGACTTGGTCCAGGCACCACTTGCTTTGCAATGTGAACTTTGGGTGACAAACCACCCCACCGCCCCCAAAGCAAAAAAACACTCTTAAACACTAACTCCAACGAAGTTAAAGGTTTAGTTACACAGTTGTATATACTTTTCAGAAACTTTTCAGAAACCATGGAGTCAGCTCCTAACTCAGTGCACCTTACTGATCACTCTCAAACTTTTTTTTTAACTTAATCTATTTGATAAATAATGAAAATATTGCATTCAGAAAAAACAGTAATTTAGTTTTGGGAAAAGGTCTTTGTCTTCAAGTTGTATAATTGCAAATGCTGGGTTAAGTCCCTGTTCTGCTTTGCACCATGGACAACAGTGGAACTTAGTATAAATTTGTGCAATTTGACTGTTTGAATAGTTGCCTGGGGGAGGGTAGACACACTTCAAGTAACTTGAGCAGCTGGAAAATCCCAGGTAGGTGTAATGCCTTAGATGAAATTAAAGGTAATAGGAGGCCAAGAAGAGCAGGTAGGAAGAGATTCCAGTGTATAGGGGCATATATGTTAGGAAAGGATTGTAATTGCCCTTGGAGACTTGAGCTCTAGTTTCAGTCTGGCTTTGTCCACTTGGAGTTTCGGAGAAGCCACTAATGCACTACAGTACAGCAGTTATGTAGGAAACACAGAATTAAATAGCTGAGTAGTGGTGCCCTTCATGGTTATCTTGGTGGGTAACTGCCTTTCCTCCTGGCAGGAGAAAGCTGTATGTTGTGACTTTCCCTGAACCTATTGAATATGTCTGATTTGGTTGGCCTGCACATTTGCACTTGGTCTGGTACTTCTGGAAAGGCTAGATTTACTGCTTGTGCAAATAAGGTGTGCCTGTAGCTTTTCCTCTGTCTGCGGAGTTCAGGAAAGAATAGTCAGGAGTAGTCCGCTCTGGTTGCCGTCTTTCCAGACCTCTCCTGACATCTGATTGGGATCATCAACAGAATGACCCATTTTCTTTAAATGTAACAAAGTGGTGCTTAACAATAATATGTTCAGTCTCAACAAAGCACAAGTAGAAGTATTTCAATGTACAAGCAATTAATAAGTGTTATCTAGGTTAAAAGTGCATCATAGATCTTCCAGAGAGTATACCTAATACAGATTTACTTTTAGTTTCAGTACAAAACGGTTCGATTCATCAAAAGGATGCAGTAAATGATGATGATTTTGAGCCATATCTAAGTAGCCAGACAAATCAGGTAAGTGAACATTGTTTACTACCTTGAAGTTAATTTTAGAGTTCAGCTGACTTCCAGACTTAATTCATTTTTGGATTATATTTCTTAGTATTACTTACTTGCCTGAACATCCACTGAAATATAATTTTATATCATGTCTTGTCTTGTCATGTGGTATCTTAAACAGCGAAAGTAATCTTAACAATTCTGGAAAAGATTCTGTTAGAAAGCATGCTCTGATGTCTCCTGGTCTTGTGCTTGTGCTCTGACTTCAGAAAGATGCAGTTACAAGAAGCTTGAGGGCAAAAAACAAACCCAAAACAACCCCCCACACTTTAAATTTACAATGAAATAATCATATATTGGAGGCAGTTGAAGAGTTTTATTGGCTCTGAGAAAATATTAACTGGTTGGACATGATTTCGTGATTTTCTTTTAAGTTGGTGGAAGTATCTCACAGTTGATGGCATAGTAGATTGATACTACTTAATATTGCTATGGCTTGGTATAACTCTTCTGCCAGGAAGTTAATGACTTATTTTCAGAGCTGTGAATTGTCTCTGTAGTCAAAAGTTAATATTCATTACGTTAAGTTTGTAAGTTGTAGTGGTCTTGGAAGAGGGAGAACGTGCAAATTATTAAAAGGCTTTGAGAATTTTGCTTGCCTTCCCTCTTCCCCCCCCCCAATAATGCAACATTAAGGAAGCATCAGCTAGAGGATGATAATGTGCAGTTTTTTCCCCCAAGCAACACCAGAAGTCCTTCAAATGTATTGGAGCTTTATCTTCTCAAGAAGTAAATGCTGTGATTTCCCAAGAGTCTTGGGAGTGGGATTGGAATTTAGCTAGCAAACTTTGTTCTACTAGACCACAGATTGTACTTAATGCTCATTCTCAGTAGTGTGGAAATGTTATGACTTGATTGTTGTTCTTCCTGAAACGAACAGGCATCCTTTTCACTGTAATATTCTGGCAGGTGTCTGCAATTAGAAGTGAGAAATTTGACAAAAAACTAAGAATACCAAAACTTTAAATCATAGTTGCAGCTGTTTTTCTGTAATTATGAAACTACAGTTGTTATTACTTGTTTTTTTAAAGTAGCTGGTTATTTTCTCAATACTGTTGGCATGGAGGCATTTTAAGCCTAGCACAGTAACTGAAAATAAAATATTACGAAAAATGGGGCTCTTCAGTGCTTTGAAAAGGTCTCTTGAGGAAAAGATGGCTATATCTAACAGATACCTTGATCATCTTTTATGTTGAGAGGAATGATGGAAGTTACAAATGCATTCATACAATCCTTAAAAGTGTTCTGGACTGTATTACAGGGTTTTTTTTCTCTGAGCATAATTGTCTATATTGCTGACTTTAGTTTTATTTTCTTGCAGAGTAACAGCTATCCACCAATGTCAGACCCATACATGCCTAGTTATTATGCTCCATCCATTGGATTTCCATACTCCTTAGGCGAAGCAGCATGGTCAACTGCGGGCGACCCTCCAATGCCATACTTGACAACTTATGGACAGATGAGTAACGGTGAACACCATTACATACCTGATGGTGTCTTTAGTCAACCTGGGGCGTTAGGAAATACCCCTCCGTTTCTTGGGCAGCATGGATTTAATTTTTTTCCTGGGAATGCAGACTTCTCTACATGGGGGACAAGTGGATCTCAGGGACAATCAACGCAAAGCTCTGCTTACAGCAGCAGCTATGGCTATCCACCTAGTTCTCTTGGGAGAGCCATAGCAGATGGACAGGCTGGATTTGGCAGTGATACTCTGAGCAAGGTGCCTGGAATTAGCAGCATTGAGCAAGGCATGACTGGACTGAAAATTGGTGGAGATATGACGGCTGCTGTGACAAAAACTGTAGGTTCAGCTCTGAGCAGTACAGGTATGACAAGCATTGCAGCAAACAGTGTGCCCCCAGTTAGCAGTTCAGCACCTAAACCAACCTCATGGGCTGCCATTGCAAGGAAGCCTGCTAAACCTCAGCCGAAACTCAAGCCTAAAGGTAATGTGGGCATAGGGGGCCCTGCTGTACCACCACCACCTATAAAACACAACATGAATATTGGAACTTGGGATGACAAAGGGTCAGTGGTAAAAGCACCCCCAGCCCAACCAGTACTGCCTCCTCAGACTATAATCCAGCAGCCTCAGCCATTAATTCAACCACCACCACTGGTGCAAAGCCAACTGCCTCAACAGCAGCCTCAGCCACAGCAACCACAACAGCAACAAGGACCTCAGCAGCAGGCCCAGCCTCACCAGTTGCAGCAGCAACAGCTGCAAAACCGCTGGGTAGCTCCTCGTAATAGGGGTGTGGGCTTCAGCCAGAACAATGGAGCTGGTAGTGAGAACTTTGGTTTAGGTGTTGTATCCGTCAGCTCCTCACCTTCTGGTGTGGAAGTGCACCCAGTGCTGGAGAAACTAAAGGCCATAAACAACTACAATCCCAAAGACTTCGATTGGAATCTGAAGAATGGACGTGTGTTTATAATCAAAAGTTATTCAGAGGACGATATTCATCGCTCCATTAAGTACTCTATCTGGTGTAGTACTGAACATGGTAATAAGCGCTTGGATGCTGCTTACCGTTCCCTGAATGGAAAAGGCCCGCTCTATTTACTCTTCAGTGTGAATGGCAGTGGACACTTCTGTGGAGTGGCTGAGATGAAGTCTGTTGTGGACTACAATGCATATGCTGGTGTCTGGTCTCAGGATAAGTGGAAGGGGAAGTTTGATGTCAAATGGATCTTTGTCAAAGACGTTCCCAATAACCAACTGCGACATATTCGCTTGGAAAACAATGACAACAAACCGGTTACCAATTCGAGGGACACTCAAGAGGTACCCCTAGAAAAAGCCAAGCAAGTGCTTAAAATAATTGCTACTTTCAAGCATACCACCTCAATCTTTGATGACTTTGCACATTATGAGAAGCGTCAAGAGGAGGAGGAAGCCATGCGTAGGGTAAGAAATCAATGTCGTTATAGTAGCTCTCCTGTTTTTTCTGGGTTTGGAAACCTTGTTTTTCATACAACTGGAATTTCTGTGTGCAAGTGTTGAATTGGAAAGTGGCGCTTTTTACCCAAGGTGTCTCTACTTGATATAACCTGCTCTTAATTAGAAGATTTAAGTTCTTGTAACTTGTTAACACAGGCATGTGTTTAACCGCAATGCTAACATAGGCCTGCATAAGCAGACTTCTGACATGTCTTACTCTTCAGAGTAATCAAAAACTGAATTGAGTGTGTTATCCGTAACTGAAGTCTTCTAGTTTAAATTTTTACTGTTTCTGGATCTCACAAAAAGGACTTTATTTAACATGATGTTTCAATTAAAATTCTACTTTAACGAAATGTTAACAACATGATTACTGTGAAAAGCAGGTTTTCCCCTTGATTGAATTTGCCTTTTGTACAATTGTGAAACACAGAAGTGATACGATGATGACTTGTCCAAAAAATTATTCTGACGCTGTACACTTCTGATAGTGCATTTCCTAAAAAGGTAGTGGGTAGTTCATTTCTGTGAAGAAAAGTATACCTACAATAAATTTGAAGTTTTGGAGGTATTTCAGGAAACCAGACAAGAGGAAAAAGGCATTTATTTTAAGCTGTTTTATAGTACTTGTCTACTTTTGTCTTGTGTGTACTCTCCCTACTAATAACACTTGTGTTCACCATTGGCCACAATATTTATTTTTGCTTTATTTATTTTCTTTCCAGGCTTGCTAGTTACTGTAAATATGTGATTTGTCTTATGGTTAGCGACATTTCAGGAAGTATTGTACCAGTTAGATGGTGTGCAAGTATGCAGAAATAGGAGTTTGCATCGGTGCAGTTTGGTGGTAGTGCTTCCTGTCATACCGCCTACTGAATAAAAAACCCCAAAAGTCTAGGCTTTATGCTAATTAGGGGCCTTGTGGGATGTAAAGTCCTGAATTTGTTCATTTCTTGAAGCTGTTGCAACTCTGGCTCTGTAAGAATTTCACCTGCTTTGCAGCCTCCTTACTTCTGTGAGGTTTCTAGTACTGCAGTGGTTCCACTGCCTCTTATATGTTCCTAATCCTTCAACACACGTTGCATCTCCTATAGACCAGTGTCATGTGTACCCAAAATCAATTTTGTAGTTTTATTGCACAGCTCTGCAACAAATTGTCATGTTGGAAACTTTTTATTATTTGGAGGCAAGATGAATATCCTAGTTGGGCATGTAATACCTTTTGATTTTTTTTTTTCTTCTAAAAGAAAACTGAATATGCCCTAAATCAGTATTGTTAATTCCATGCCATCTTGATGATGGGAAGATGGGCTATATTCTTAACTAATATTCAGTGTAAGGGGAAAATTTTCACTTTTTCAGGATTTAATACAACTTCACTGTGATTTTGGTAATGTTTCAGAAGGACTAAAGTTATCAGGTTTCTCTGTAGCCTTCATGTTTTAGTATTTTCTTTATTTGTGATGTTTTAAGACACTTCACAAATAACTGGTATGCTTCAAAAGTACTACTTTTTGAAAAAAACTTATCAAAAGAGTCAGAATTCAGACATGCCCTAGCAACTCAGGAAGATAATGTGTTTTAGTTGCGGGTTTTTTCCTTCTGTAGCAGATGAAAACCATGAAATGTGATGGAGGGGGAAACGTAGATTATTGGTAGTGCTTCTATGTATGCTAAAATTAAAATTGAAAGTACTAAATTCAGCATCTCGTAGGTCTCTAAATAGATGACTGTGATTATGCATGTTTGTGTAATAAAGTAACATTACTGTTTCCTTTAATATCTTCATGTACAATATCTGTATGACTCAAGTACTGAACTCTGCATTTCTCTGTTAAGTTACCCTTCCTAATACTATTGGGAGAAAACATACTTGTCAAGATGCTTGCATAGTAGGCATTGATTCTTCTACAACGTCGTACAAATTGGTTTTGTGACAAAGTATAAAAAACTACTTTTGAGTTGTGTATCTAGTTGTGAGGTTTTCTGTTTGTAGATGGATTTTAATACTCCTTAAGCAAATTAATATGTACTTAAAATATAGGAAGTCCAAATTAAACTGACAGCTACTGAAAGTTCATCTTTATCATTCTCTTATGATTGACTGTTGATTTTAAACCTCTAGGTTTCTTCTTTTATCACACAGTGTACAACCAACGTGTCTTTAAATTGTAAACATACAATTGTTAACTCTTTTATGATTCAAGAATAGTTTGGAAATGCAACAATTAGTGCTGTAAGCCCTGGTTTATGGTTAATTGAGTAATCCTTTATTACCTAGTGCCAGCTAGGCTTTTATGGAGCTGTATTTAAATTAGTGCACTTCCTACTGCCAGTAGAACTGTGTAAATTAAGTTCATACCCATTTTCTGTGGCAGCTGTGGCAATCACTTTGTTTCCAGTGTTTTTGTCACGAAAAATGTGCTTATTGCTGTTAATAAAATATTAAATACATCAAGCAGCAGTAGTCACTTACATGTTCTTTAAAGTTCAGTTAATGTTTTGTTGTTGCATAGGTGGTAACAAACTTTCATACAGCCAGTGATCTAAACATAGTAAACAGCATATGATGTATGGATTTAATTTACTTTATAACTGTTCATCTTTCCAGCTAACTTATTTTAAAATAATTGGTTGTAAAAGTTTAATCTTAACAACTCAGGGGGATCAATAATTAATTTCCAATATGACCTAGCAGTTATGTTTTATTAAAATATGGCAATATACTTTAAAAAGTGCAATGAATAGTCTTGTGATTAACGTGAAACTTCAGTAAGTTTGCCATTTGATAAAGCTTACTTCCAAATGTCTATGAATAGTCTCTTTAACCACAAATACTAGAAGTCTAGTGTCTACCACTGTTTGATGTGACTCCAGTGTGGTTAAGGTTTGGAACTGGATTGGAAACAAATTTGTGCAGTAACCATTCACACTTTTCTTATGGCTCAGGTTCCTAACTTAAATGTAGAAGTGCTGTCATCTTTCACCAAAGGAGCAAAGAAATAAGCAATGGTTTTCATGAGTTCTGTCAGTAGTATATTGAAATAATCTGAAATTACATTAGTCCTTAGTTTGAACTGCTGCTTTGTGGTGTAAATGTGCATATTTATGTGAAGATTATTTAAAAAATGTGTTTGATTGTCTTTCAACAGAAAGCAGTAGCAATAAGATCTAAAAAGCACAGAAGTCTTAAAATATGCCATTTAAGAGCATGTAATTACATTAGGAAAATGAAAGATATTGAAAAGGAAAAAAACCCCAACTGTATTAGTAGTTATGCGCCTGATCTTTAGTAAATATATGGATCAAAATGAAATGTGGCTCTGATTAAAAACGCAGTTGTTGGAATATTACAACTTCCTCACCCTCAGATGATGGCTTGTTGACCTGCAACTACCTGTTGTCCTAGGACTTCTTTTGGTGCTTTTTTTTAGTGCGGAATTCTACTTTTGTAGCATATAATAGAAAAAAAAAATCATGGTTCCATGTAACTGTAGAATGCTTTAAATGGTTTTCTTAGTGAGATAGTTTAGAAAAATAATTAATTTTTATCCATGGGAGAGGATAGAGGAATTCGGTGTATTTGTTTGTCTAATTTGTTTTTTGAATTTTTACTTTTCTGGAAGCCTTTAAATGGTAGGTAAATTTTAAGCATTTTAAATGTTAGCTTTCTTCTGTTCTACGACATATCTTGTAATAGGAATGCTGATACAACTTTTTGGAGTCTCAAAAGGAGTAATTTCATTCCCCTCTTCTCCCCCCCATTCTGATACTACTGTAACTTCTGTTTCTTTGATAATTGGGTCATAATCAGGCTGCAGCGTTAAGCAGTGTAACTTCTTTCCACTCCCAGACATTGCTGACTTTATACTTGATTTGATATTACTTAAAAGATGTCTTAAGGGAAGTAGGGAAGTGAGAAAACATCCATTAACAGTGAACTGTAGACACTTCCTCCTCCATTTACCCCCCCCAACAATCAACTACTAGGCTATAATGTCAAAGTCAGATATAGATACATCCACAGTCCATGTACAAGTCAAGGAAAACAGGTAGTTGACCAGCATTTCTAATTTAGTTAAATGATAGTTGTACCAGACAATTTCTTAAAGTTTGTGTGTTTACATCTAAAAGAGGTTCAAACAGTAAATAAAACAGAACATACAATATTATCTGAGAAACTTGTGCATTTCCTGTATGTTTTTGATGATGTTTCAAGGGCAATTATTTTGCAATTTCCTTGAACGTGATGTTTATCTACAGTTTCATCTTTATAAATTAAAATGATAGTGCAGGTCTCATGTCTGTTTTAAGAAAAAACAATGCAGTCAGAAAGTAGAAACAGAAGATACGTTTTTGCTCCCTTGCTGATAGATGAATACGTGCCCCTGGTCTTGGGAGAAGAGGATTACTTGGCGCTAGAATAATTTTAGACATGCTGATCCAGAATTTTCATCCCATGAAGGTGTGCTTATTTACCATGTCTTCATTTGCTTTTGCATCTTTAGTCTTTTGGAGATACTTAAAAATGACCTGCAAGTTCTCTCGTTATAGACACATGGATTTCAATTGTGCCTGTTTTCTGTGCATTTGGTAGAATCAATTGTTTCTGTTCAGAGGTAGTGTTTAGAATTTATTACAGAATGGGGATAGTATGGAGAGGTCTCAATGTTAAAATTCGGTATCGTTTAGAGTGACTGTGTAAGAGTTTGAGTAGTGGTTGTGGCCTGCCCTTTTCTAGTAAGGGACAAGATGCTGCAACAGGGAAAGTGCAATATTGGACTGTTGAATGAAAGAGATGGAATATAATTAAACTTACAGGTGGTCTTAGTTTATAGTGACACTTGTATTGATCTTGTTGTGTTGTTCTTTTTGGTTTGAAATTCTTACCTGCAAAATCAAGCCTACGGAGTCCTTTTTACAGAATGGATTTAAATTCTCGGACTCTGGGACTTGAAAGACCAATT